TCGTTGGAAACATAGGAAATCCCATGCAGATTTTGATCTGCTCAATCATTGGCTCCCCTATTAATTTTACAGCTAAATTATTATAGGATTTTTCAAGGTTGCTGAATACACACGCCAAATTTGAACAATTTTGGACAAGCCGATTTTAAGTAATTTAAGAAAAACTGTATCTATTTTTAAATTAAAACTGATGTATTCAGCATACGCAATACTTTAAAAACCTATTTACGATTTAGCTGTGAAATTAATAGGGGAGCCAATATTTGGACAGTTCAAAATTTGCACGGGATTTCCTATGTTTCCAACAACGATGCATCACCCGGTATAGTCTGTCCAATGGACTTGTGTCTGTCATTTTAATTCATAGCCAAATTGTATTTTCTGTCATTTCTTTGGATGTCGACTGTCAAAATATTCATTGTCATTGGAAAGACTTTAGTTACAGTCGTTGTTAAACTTCAAAACTACAATATAAAAATTTAAATAGTTTACAAATAAAATTCGTTTTAGAATGTATTTCTTATTAGAATAATTCAACATGAAAGTTTGAAACAAGTTTTAAAAATTTCAAGGATTGCTGAGTATTTTGAAAAAAACGGATTTTTTTGAAAATCAAAAAACTAATTGCATATTCTCATAGCCACTTTATTAGGGCAATCTGATAATTTATGAGATAAAGAAACCAACTTTATTTTTCAAGTCCGACTCTGGTTTTTAAATTATATAATCTGATTATATTCATCGCAAACAATATTGATCAGCGCTAATTAACATTGAATAAGGAAAATCGAGCCAAATGGAAGATTCATATCCAGGTCAGAGGTCAGCAATTTAAAGATATTATTTTTAACTTGTTTTTATTGCGAATTTGAAATCTTAGTGTGCGATCTAATAATATACATAATATTTATCGTAGTTATTATAAATAAATCAACTTCTACAAACTATAACTCTGTTTTTTTTCTCAGGTAAGATTTCGACAGACGATGACAGAAGAAAAGCAGATGACGTCCCATACCAATCTACTTATTTTACTAAAAAAAAGTTTCTAATAATTTTTAAGTTAACTATGGATGGGTTTAAATATAAATCCGTCATGCGTCGTCTCTTGTTGTTTTTAACCAGTTTAATTGGTTTATTTCAAAAATGACAGATCGTATTTCAATTTTATTGGTTTGACGGAACGATGAACAACAAACGGACGCCGATGCGTATGAACTAGCCTTTAGATCTTTAGATTTTTGATGCTTGTCAAAGTCTTGCCAAATTATAGGTTATAATTTTGTGTCAACTTTTTATTTTTTTTTGGCGGTTTGGAAGATGATGCATTTTGATTCGTGTTATTACGTGTGTTTTGTGTCTTTTGGAGTCAAGTGGAGGAAAAATCGAGTGAAAATTAATTGTAGACCCAGAGCACAGTTTATGGTTAATACTCGCTGCCCAGGCAGAAAGTCTTATACACCAATAAAGTTACCATCAATAAAGTTCGTATACCATCTCGCCGTAGATAAGTGCATCTCGAATATGGTAGAAGGACCATACTAAACACATACTAAAACTGGAGTAGCTGTAAAATATCAACATCGCACGATAGGTAAATAATGGATTTTAGTACTGCAGAAAAATAATGTCAAAAGGTACTGGTTTAAAAAAATTAAGATTAAAGTTAATTAATCAACCTTTAAGGTATAAAATATTTATGGTAAGTGTTATTATTAATAAAATAGTTTGTTTTATTCATGTTGTTGTATTTATTCCTGTGGGATATTACAAATTTGTATTTGTACATAAGTTATATTGATAAAAATAATCATAAATGTAGGAAGTTTCATAAAGCTTGGAAGTAAGAAATAGTTCTTTTTTATATTTTTTGGTATGTGGTGTCTTGTTCTTGTTTGTTTTATATTAACACATACCGTTTTTTATTAAATAAAATAACTCGATTACATTTTTTCAGTTTTATACAGTTTTTTTTACAATATTTTGAAGTAATCAGTTGTCAGTCAAATTTTAAATATATTCATTTCCTGCTATGCGTTCCAGTTGTACCAACTTATTTCTTTGTAGAATAAAATAAACTACTTTGAAATTAAAATGACAGACACATCTATCACTTTCAAGGATCTTCTCGTTGGACAGACTATAGTTTCTAATGATCTACATGTTCGAAAGGATTACCACCCTCCCTATGGCACAAATTTACTTTCCGTTCAATTTTATTTATAGCTCTTTGAACTTTCTTCTTACATTTCTGTATGCAGTTTGTACTCTTTATTGTAAATGTTGAGATGTATTATTATCTTTACAAATGACGGTTAAGTAATGTCCGCCACCACCCCATAAAGTCGCTATGAGAATATGCAACTAGTTTTTTATTCTCAGCAATCCTTGAAATTTTTAAAGCTTTTTTGATGGCATCTTAGTGAACATTCCAAAGCGGCAACTTTGCCCCAATTTAACCATGTTCGTATCTATTACAGTTACCGAGATACCAATGCTCGTACACCGAATTTGTAGCACCCTGTATAGTTAAGTTCGAATAAAAATTGTTTCTATGCCTACTGTAACATCGTTTTTATTTGATCACATGGAACATTGAAAAATGTCTACACTCATCAATTTCAACATTAAAAAAAATGTTTTTCTTTTACTAAAATTATTAGTATTGCCATTTCTTATTTGAATAAACTAAGGTACCTAATTAAAATAAATTTCTTGTAAACATTTCAAAAAAATGGCAACACCGAATTTTAGGTTCGAAAAAGAATCATAGTTTTTCTGTACAGGTACCCAATTATAGTTAAATTATAACAAATATATTTTCGACTCAAATCGTTGATTTGTTGTTGTACAATTTGTTTGTACTATGATAAGATTAAGAGGGCTATTAGAAAACAAATAAAATCGCATTGGAAATTTTCCTTAGGTTGAATTCTTAAAGGATTTTGAGTTTAGTCAACTCGAAGGTTTCTTTTATAATAAACAGTCAAACGTTATCACCACCACGTTAAGAAAAATTTACAGTCCTGATAAATTGTGTAAATATTATCATAAATAACACAGATTTATTGTATCTACAAATCTAAGACAATAAAATAAATTTTCCTAGATTCTATGACTTTTGACGTGATCTGACATCAGTGTCAGATCATATTTGTATAAGTTTTGAACTGTATTACGAGTATCATTATCAAAAGAATAAATATTCTGAATAATTTGCGTAGATATTATCATAAGTGAAATTGATTTATAAGGTGTTTTTGTAAAAATATGATGAAAAAATTTCAGTTTATTTAATTTTTAATATGATCTGGCATCAACGTCATCAAATTTATAACACTCAAATTCAGTATTTCAGGACAATACAAAAAATAAGCGGAATTTATACGATATTTGAACAACAAAAAATAAAATTTTAAATATAATAAATCAAATTTTCAAATTTGTTTAAATTTATAACGTTAACACAAATTTCTTTATAAAAAAACTAATATGTACTCTGAAAAATTTGCGTGTATATTAGCATAAATAAAATTAATTTATAACATTTTTGAGTATACAAAACATCAAAATACATAAAAATGTCATTAAATAATACTTACTTTCTTTGATTACTTAACTTTTTGGCATAATCTGACATCAACACTGGTTAAATTTATGATATTAAAGCAATTAGACAGACTTTATTTATTTTTCTAGGAAATTCAGAAGTCTCAGATTTATAGAGGATCCGGCAATAGTGCGTCGGGCATTTGTAGCTCTTAAAATAAAAACTTGGGAATTTTGTCCAAACGTAAATACCTAGGATGTTTCAGAAAAATATTTTAACTTCTACAGTTTGGCTCAAAAAAGTGTGACTGGATCGTGATGATTTTTTTAAATGGAACACCCTGTATGTTATTGCATTTTTGGCTTTCTTTCAGATAACTTTACATAATCCTATGATATACAGTAGTGGAAAAATGTAGAGCAACTTTTGCAAAAATAATATAATTCGAACTTGACTTATAGTACAAATTTAAATTTGGTTTTAAAATATGGGCAGTGTATAAACAAATACATTCCAGTCAAGAAATATTTATTTATATTTCTTTCATGGTCTTTCGATTCAGAGTGTCATTTTCTATCGAATAAAGTAAAAAAATACCGAGGGTGCCATTTAAAAATCAAAAGTTGTAGTCATTTCCGGTGCAACCGGAAGTCACCGAAATCAATTGAATACGCCAATCAATCCCAATTTGTGTCATATACCAACATACCAAATATCGTTGTTTTATCTGGAAAAATAAAAAAGTTATAGGGGTGAGCCACTTTTGAGACGCACCCGGTATTTCATGTGGTATTTTCCACAGTAAATGTTCTAATGTACGACGCACTATTGTCGAACCCTATATATTTGTTTTACAACAATATTTCAAATGTAAAACTTTTCTTTAAATTATATATTTTTTGACATTATCTCAAAGAAGAAAATTTATACTTACATCAATCATATTTATTCCTAGGAATGTGGGTGTTACAAAGAGGATTTACTTTTAAGAATATTTTCAAAATTGCTAGCAAGGAAAATATTATTTATTTAAATTTGTGTTTTCGTTTAACTTTTTCTAAATGGACTTTTACTCGAAGTAGATCTTCGTAAGAAACTGTAAAGAGCGTACAGTCCTTAAAAAACTCAAATTGCACAACAAACATTCCTTAGCATAATTTGAGAAACAAAGTTTCATTATTCAGTGTATAAAAACCACTACACTACACTACTCGCGAAATAGGTCAAAGTCAAATGGTGAAGAGGGCTATTTCATGTTTCCTCTTCTAATGAAAACAAGCCAAGACGAGGCAAAGTTAGGCGAGAAAATACGAAATACGCTCATTCGCTATTCTGCCTTGACCTACTTCGGGTTATTTTGCGAATAGTGTAGAGGCAGTTAATATAACTAACTAACTATAATTGGGTAACTGAGGAGTCTTATCTACGCAAAAAATCACATAAGTACTACCTGCGTATACGAATGAACCCATGCGACTTCTCTCATTCGGAGGTATCCATTTCGCCAGCAACGCATGGCTGCACGGTACTATCGGACCCTGTTCGAGAACAGGAACACGTCAAATAGCAGTGAGGGACAGAAGCAAACGCCATCTATCGTTTTGCGAACGATTCAAAACATCGTGATTTATGTAGAAGTGGGAGAATTAATGAAATGTCATTGATTATACACCTAACAATACGCTGAATCCTTATTTTTGTATAGACAAAAAATCAATTTAGTTTTTAATTAGAATGACACAAAGAACTGTCATATATTCTCTCGTTGAAGAGACCATAGATAAAGGAAACAAGTTTAGTTAGCTCGGCTTGCCGCCAAAACTCATAATTGTTTTGGAGCGCATACGTTGTAGGGCGCTGCTATAGCGGTTGCTAAGAACAACCGCAAACAAGAACAGAAATAATTTTCTCTTGTTAAAGCCAGAATCTTCAAAAATTATAAAGTCCTTCAAAATTTAAACCGCCCTCATTGAAAAAATACCCAAAAGGTTTTAAAGCGTCCATTTTCAAAGTAATTATCGCTATCTTGTGAGTTTCATTTAAATTTTATTTACTCAAACCCGTGATAATTGTGAAAAAGTGACATTAAAAGCTTAAAAAGTTGTGTAAACTGTGAACTGCAAAAACCATCGTGGATCGTGGCATAACGTCAGGTTCCAATGTTTCATAGATATTTCATACATGTTCTTATATAAAATAAAGATACTTATATGCAACACACTGTATTTTATTCAAGAAATTAAAAAAAAAATAATAATAAATTTGAATAAATAATATTTGGCGATATAATTTCGGAAAAGGCCGAACCGCTCCGAAATTATAAAAAGCTTTGGAGAGCGACCGTTGTAGGAAAAGCGCCAATTAGTATTTACATTGTTCTTATGGGCACTTTCCAATCTAAAATTGTTTCTTTTATCTATGGAAAAGACTATAAACAAGTTCGATTCTTCTACTGTGCAGTTTAAAATAAATAAATTTAGACTGAAATGGTCGGCTTCCCGCCAAAACTTAATTTGTTTTGGTTCTCATCCGTTGTAGAGCGCTGCTAGCAGTTGCAAAGAACATTTTCCTGTGCACAAAGACCTAAACTTTAAAAATTAAAATGATCTTCATTGAATAAATACCGAAGGTTTTGAAAGCGTTCTTCATCAAAGTTATTCTTATATCGACTTTTTTCGATCAGGATTCAGTGTAATGTTAGTTGCACACTATGTGACGCATAGACTTAAAATAAAATATAGACTACACTATTTACATCTCAACGCGGACAAACAACCTTTTTTGTACACATGTTTACTTCTGGGTACAGTCGACCGAGCCTTCCTCATCCAGCCTATGTTGTCACGTCTTTAATATTATCAATATTTTTTTTCTTGTTATACACATATATTGAGATATTAATACTACAGTTTAATAAAGTAGGTTTTAATATTCCATAGATGTATTAAATAGTCCTTATACTACTAAATTATAAGTCGGATACTGTTTAAAAAGGATAAGTTCTTTACAATATGATAACACCGATTAGAGGCGAGGGAGCCTATTCATTCATTTATTACCTTGTAGTACGCGTGGCAAGTGTGCGGTAAAGCTTTGATGCCGCTATGTCCCCGGCTGTATTAACGCATTTTCTTAGTTTGTAGTCCTTAAGTGTTTATTTTATTGACTTTTTCTGTTCAAGAACTATAAAATATGGTTCGCCAGTGCCAAATTTGCAAGAAATTTGACTTAAATAATCCATTTAAGTCTTGAAACGACTTTCGACCGGTAGGCAACTCTCAATTTACCCATTGGGAGTCAGTGGCGTTGTTGTAGAAAGGCGCTTATTTAGATAATATTTTAGTAAAATGTAAAATCTGAATTTTTTCTCTTATATTACATTATTTACTTACTTACATTGTAACAAAATCATAATTATAACCCTGTTAATAATTAATAATGTTTTTATTAAAAATATATTCCGGTTTATTCTAAAATTATCTTCAGAATCTAAAATAACATACAAGAATTTTAATATGATATTACATTATGAGACAATATTTTTTAATATACCGGGTCGTCTCAAAAGTGGTTCACCGCTATAACTTTTTTATTTTTTCAGATAAAAAAACAGATTTGTATGTTAGTAGGTATATGACATAAATTAGGATTTATTGACGTATTCAATTGTTTTTGGTCTCTTTCTGTTTCACCGAAATGATTACATCTTTTGATTTTTAAAGGCACCCTCGGTATATTTCTACTTTATTCGATAGAAAATGATAATAGAATTCTGAATAGAATGACATATCATATGTCAACTTTTGACATTGTCGCTTAAAAACAAATCGTATTATAAATTTCAATCCAGGGTGCCATGGTGTTGTTAAAAACACTAAGTTTTAATCAAGGAGCCTTGGAAAAATAGTTTTGATCGTCTAATGGGTTTCGTGTCTTGTCTAGGCCGATTAAAAGATGTACAAATCATATTTTTAATCATACATATGTCAATTTTTTCAAATGGAACAAGGGTGACTCGTTAGCATATTTGGAAAAAGCATTTTTTTATGAATATATTGATACCACACACTTGGTATTTCGAGTCAAATTGTCGTTATGAACCACGTGTTACAATTACAATTAAACCATATGCGAAAGTGTCAAAAGTTGACATATGATATGTCATTCTATTCAGAGTGTCATTTTCTATCAAATAAAGTAGAAATATACCGAGGGCGCCGTTTAAAAATTAAAAGTTATAGTCATTTCCGGTTAAAAAGGAAGTGACCAAAAACAATTGAATGCGTCAATCAATCCTAATTTATTTCATATACTAACATACTAAATCTTGTTTTTTTATTTGAAAATATAAAAAAATTATGGGGGATGAGCCACTTTTGAGACGCACCTGGTATAATAAAGACAGTACCGAGTTAAATAAATGTAGTTTTTATTTTATCACCTTCCTTGCTTTAATGGAACAGATTTATGTTTTCTCTAATTTACATAATAAGACATCACTTAACCAGAAACAAAATTACAACAATCATATTTTTTTTTCTCTCCCTGTCGCCGATTCTATTATATCTGTGGAATAGATCCTGTTTTGATTAATATTAGGGGTTGTAAATGTTTGACTAAAATTAATAATTTATTATTAATTTCAAAAATTACCTAATTTCAATTATAAAATTTCTTCTATAACGTGTATTTTATTATTTTTATCCTTTTTGGACTCTAAATTGTTTTTTCTAAACTTATATTTAAAAAACCTGTCCTAAATCTTAATAAAATATAAAAAAGTTTAAATACGATATATTTTTAATTTAATTATAGCTTCATTAAAATAAAAAAATTACCCGGCTATGATACGGAGAGTTCAGGTGTACTTGAGAAACAAAGACAGTGTTGTGTTTCTCGGCAGAGTCGTCAGGGAACGACCGTTACGACAGAGACAACCTATCTATCGCTCGTGTCGCACTCGTTATAACCTAAAACAATAACACAACAATAACAAGACAGTGTCTGACCGCATGTTCCAGCTATTTATGAATGAGATGCTCAGTCTATATTTTATTTTAAGTCTATGATGTGACGTAATCACTAACCAGGCCCATTTTGACAAAATCTGTTCCATCTGAGAAATGATTCACATTCAAGGATTCGAAAAAGTTGTCACGTGTAAAAAAAATAAGATTTTAATTCCTTAATCGTTTTCTGAGATTGTTAAGTCCAAAGATTATGTCGAAATCACGTTTATTTTAAAAAATAGATGCTGTAAATTAGTTAAATCTGGTTATAAAGTAATCACAGATGATAAAAGTGTGTTTTTTTGAAATTTCGTTGCGTCGATTAAGTGAGAATTTGGACTTAACTTTGTTGAGTTCTTTTTTCTGTGAGAATCCTTTAATCTGCATGATAATAAGAATATAAAAATAGATATAATAAATGAATTAAGTAGGTTAATAATCGATTTTATTGTTCGAATATCCTGCAGTGAATCAATACTGAATTGTAGTTTTAATCGCATTGTCACTATAATAAAAGCTTAAGCTTCATTCAGAACCTTGTAATTTAGTGGAATAAATTAGTGGTTTCAATTTCACTTATTACTTTTTAGTTTACGATCATTCACAATGTCTAAAAAACACAATTAAAATTAATAGAATATACTAACAACAGCTTGCGGTAGTCAGTTGTATCCATAGAGAAAACCAAATATTTAGCTTATAAAACAATAAACTTTTGATTTCTAACCACAATTTCTCTTAAAGGATGATAATAAAAGGTCAAAATGACATTCCCTGCAAATTTTGTAGTACTTTGTAAGTACTGGAAAAGTCAAAAGTTTGTTAACTTTTTCTACGAATTGAAAATGGCTACCACTAATTTAGACGTTCTGAATGCTTACGTTGAAATTAAAGGAAGAAACTTCTACGCTAATTGAAAGTCCACTAATTAAGTCTAATTTAGTCCACTAATTGCGAGGTTCTGAATGAAGCTTTAAACTTCTCTCATGCGAATGATTTTATTCTCAATTTCTTGCATCCAAAATATGAGAATACCTATTTTCATATTTCAAAGCGTTTGTTTTAGGGACAATATTCATTCCTGTATCGTTTAATTTAAAGGTGACAATAATTCATTACATTAGATTGAATCAAATCTCAGACCATAACGTAACTTTACTGAATTATTTGACATAGATGGCGTTGCTTTCCTCGAAAATCAGGCTCATCTTTACAAAAAAACAACGCCAAAAATCCTCCATGGTTCCATAAACCCGATTTTTGTAAAGAAGCCTGTTATATATACATCTACTTACCTCACCCAATCCTTGAATGAATCTGACTACCAGGAGCCACCAGAGGCCAGCATGAGCCGCTATGGGAACCAAAAGTCCAAATACGGAATTCACCAGCATGCCGATGCCCAGGAAGTAGATGTTTCCGTAGGTTTTGCCCAGGATACCTGCTGGGATTTGCGTGATGACGTAGCCGTAGAAGAAGGCGGATAGGACGTATGCTTGTACGTCTGTCTCCCATTCGAATTCTCCATCTGCTTCGTGGTTGTTTTGAGCATCCTGTGGAATATGACATAGAATAAGCAATTTTCGTGTCCAAATCTTAGATCTTGAAGTCATATATCGTTGATACCGTTACATTAGAGAATATTTCTGTTATAAGTATATTTTAATACATAATCTTTTTTGGCCATTTCTATGGTAATGATCATTTACTTTTCAATCTTTAGCAGATAATTCTTATTAATTTTAATTAACGTTATATTTTTTGCTGTTGTGTCAAAGTATTACCCTTTCCGGAACATTGAACTAAATAAATATTGTTCTTGTATAACATTTTAATAGAGCAAACATAGATAAAGAAAACAAATTTAGATTGGAAAGTGCCCATAAGGACAATGTAAATACTATTTGGCGGTATTCTTACAACGGTCGCTCTCCAAAGCTTTTGATAATTTCGAAGCGGTTCAGGTTTTTCCGGAATTATGTCACCAAATATTATTTATTTAAATTTATATTATTTTCTTTTCATAGTTTAAATCAAATACACTGTGTAGCATATAAGAAACTTTATTTTGTGTAAGGACATGTATGAAATACCTCCTATGAAACATTGAAAACCGACGTTATGCCACGATCGACGATGGTTTTTGCAGTTCACAGTTCACACAGATTTTTAAGTTCTTAATGCCACTTTTTCACAATTATCACGGGTTTGAGTAAATAAAAACTTACAATATAGCAATAATTACTTTGAAAATGGACGCTTTAAACACACTTTTCGGTATTTTTTCAATAAGGACAGTTTAAATTTTGAAAGATTTCCAATTTAAGAAAGAAAGATTTAAAAAAATTTTAAGGTTCTGACTTTGACAAGAGAAAATTGTTTCTGTTCACTTTCTGTTCTTCTTTACGGTTATTCTTAGCAACCGTTATAGCAGCGCCAGATCTCGTACAACGTATGCACCCTAAAAAAATTATAAATTTTGGCTGCAAGCCGAGTATTCCAATCTAAACTTGTTTCCTTTTATTTATGAGAGCAAAAAACATGCCGTTAATAAAAATTAATAAAGATAGATATAAAAAATAGCAACCTATTCCTCAGACCTACCGAATATACATATAAAATTTCATCAAAATCGGTTACGCCGTTTCGGAGGAGTACAGTAACAAAATTTTTTAAAAATCAACCCCTATTAAAAAATAGAGGTTGATGGTAGAAGGATGACAATTTAGGGTTGTGCGGTAACTAAAACTGTGACCCGAGAATTTTACAAAAAGTTTTAGTCATTATATTTATTTTAATAATATAAATTATTACGCTAATAGGTATAACATCATAATCGATTCAATTTTATTTAAAAATATATCATGCAGATCCAATATCTTTATTTTTAAAATTAGAGTACCCACATATTGTTACTATGCATACACGTACCCATCAATCTTGTAAATGAAAACGTAAATATGCAGATGATTCAGCATTGGAAACGTTGTACTACACTTTTAATAATAAAAATGGAAGTCCAAAGTCAATCTTTTATTATTAATTGTTTTACTAGGATTAAATTTTTAACAGATGGTCGTAAATAAATTTAGACATCAAACGAATCAATATAATTTAATTTAAAAAGATTTGGCACATTATTAAGTGGATTACAAAATGACATGCATTTCTTATTTTAAAATGTTAGTTATCTTAGTTTTCCTTTAATCTTACATTTTATTTAATTTGATTATTATCGTTGATTGAAAGAATTGGGAAGATCCGCTACCTAATGGGCAAATTCGTGACAAGGCTGATTTGATTTCGCCTTACGTCTCAAGTGCTGTACGGTGGAGCCTCTACTCGTTCTGCGGCCAACGCATAAAACACTCATTTTTTCTAATTCGACTAGCGAAGGCATATCGGAGACGGTGTGGATCTAAAAGCGACAGTGTTGCCATATTAAAATGTGTTATATCTGTAATACGTTTGGCAAAAATATTTTTGGATAAAAAATTCGTGTTTATGTATTGAAAATTTATTCCTGTTGAACATAGAATAAACAACAAAAATAAAAATTATTTTGTAGGTGCTGAATAATCGTATGATCGAAAAAAGTCGTTAAGTAGGCTTGAAAATGGCGAACTATTGACGTTTACCATAATATCTTACATATGAAATAACAGCGATCTTGCTTTCCAAGTCAACCCCGAGGCCGTTCTTTGTTTAATCTTATATCCAATTAAATTGTTTGATTATAGAAAATTCGTGTTATTAACGTAGTGTACCCAAAATCCGTAAATCTGCGAATTAATCCGTAGTTCTGGCAACACTGTCTTCGAAACTCTGTCGACTGAAAGTAGAACTACGGTACACTATTCTTTATTCGCTGCGCTGTAAACGACTATCAGCGCGCAGCGGCGCCGCAGAGCTAAACTAAATCTCGGACAGGTTGACTAGCTGCGACGGTACCGCCAGCTACATCTCGGACGGGTTTTGTCTCACGAAATCGCCCGTAAGTTTGCGCATCTTCTTATTTCTTCAATCAACGTTATTATTAAAAAAGATTATTTCCAGAGTGCATTATTTATGTTTTAAACATTTTTGTTTCAAAAAAGAAAGTGTTTAAAACACCATGGCTCAGACAAAACCGCGATAGTGCATGCCATTCACCAGAAAGCGAAGTCTGAAAAACTTGAAAAGAATCCAACTAGATGGAAAGGAAATACTGCCATCACAGGAAGTTAAATATCTGGGAATAACCCTGGACAGTAAACTCCTGTGGAACAGGCATATTAAGAACACTACCAGCAAATGGCGACTGGCCGGAAATAGATGGGGCTGCTCCCCTAACATTTTGCGCTGGATGTATACCATGATAGTAAGACCCATGATTACTTATGGAGCAGTTGCCTGGTACACAAAACTAGAGCAACGGACGGCAAAGCTAAACCTGTGCAAAGTCCAGAGACTAGCATGCGTTTGCATCACAGGGGCCATGAGAACCTGTCCAACAGCAGCAATGGAGGTCATTCTAGATCTAACACCACTGCACATTGTCATTGGTAGATATGCCAATGCGACAATGATTAGAATGATCAATAACAGAATCAGTACTGGGAGAATTGTCAGATCAGGGGCTTGGAACACTCTCAAAAAGGAAATACCACTCCTGCAAATCCCAGTGGATGATATGCCAAGAACGTACAACTTTGAGAAACATCTCAATGTAGTATTGAGCAATAAAAAGGATCGGAAGAGAGAAACGTCTGCTCAGCAGTTAAAAGACCATACCATAACTTGCTATACTGATGCTACCAAAACCAATGCGGGAACAGGGATCGGAGTATTTGGGTCGAGAACTAAATACTCCGAACCAATGGGCACCTACCCTAGCATCCTACAGGCAGAAATCTACGCTATCGAAAGATGCGTATCACAACTTATGTTAGATAGGAACTATCGGAAAAAAGAAATAGCCATCTTATCTTATAGTCAAGCAGCGTTAAAAGCGATCAATTCAGTATCAATCAATTCGAAATTGGTCAAAGAATGCATAGAGAAGCTGAATAAATTAGGCAAAGAAAACAAAGTCTTCCTACTCTGGGTGCCTGCTCACCAAGGGATAGAAGGCAATGAAAAAGCAAATGATCAAGCTAGAAAAGGAGCGAACACTCCACTAACTGGACCAGAACCGTTCTGCTTTCCAAGTGGTAACCAACTCAAGGCGGAACTCAAGAACTTGGAAAACTCCATCTGCAACCTGGAATGGGAATCTTCCAATGGTCTAAGACACTCGAAGAAGTTTCTGAGGGCTTACGATCAAGAAAAATCAAAGATCTTTAAAGATCCTGGATTTAAGTAAGAACAATCTTCGGATTGTCACGGGATTTTAAAAAGGACACTGTCTACTCAATGAACACCTCAGTAGATTGAAACTAAGAAGAAACGGCGAATGCAGATTCTGTGGGAAAAATGGGGAAACACCAGTACACCTCATCACTGAGTGCGTCGAGACGACAACCATTCGTGCCATGAACTTTGGTACGACTGATATTGGAGATGGAGAACTACCCTCTATAATACCGTCCCAGATACTGGCTTTTGTCAAAGCCCTGGGACTGTATGATGAGTTATAACTCATTAAAGGGGGACACAATAGATCTGTAAGTTCGCAGTGATTAACTCCCCTCCCACTCATTCTAATTCTAAAATTCTAAAACACCATGACTTATTTGAAATGTTTAATTAAAACTGTTTAAAATATGTTAAGATACTCTCTACAAAGTTATAAACATTATAGCCCGCGTATAGTTTGTTTCCTAATTCTTAAATGGTACTTACCAAAGTACTGTTGATTAAAACACCACATTCGGTGACAGAAACGTCATCAGTGTCAGAATGATCATCTAAAGCTATGGCGGTGTGATTGACCATGGCCACTATCGCAACTGACATGTTGGTACGCATGACGTATGCATTTGCCATGCCCAGGGCAAGCATGAATGTCACAAAATGTCTGGTTCCAAACCATCCTAAAACAAAAAAAAATTAGTTATTAATTTTCAGTTTTTACACATAAAGTTGTTTACTATTTGTAACATTTGCTATTATTTTTTATCTCTTAATTTTATAATACGTATCATATTCAAATTCTATTATTATCCAGCCATATTTTGTCAGAATTTGAAAAACTACCTTGAAAAATAAATTTTTCAAACTTTTTATCGTCATTCGTAACTTATGTACCTACTTTTTATAAAGGTGTTACTAAAATATACTAAATTTGCTATTAATATTTCCTTGTTTTATTTAATTACAAGCTTCTATTTTTTCTGTAGCATTATACCGTGACCGATAAAAGCGGACCCACAGTGGCCTTTTAAACGAAAATTCTAATAATTTCTGTAAAACCAGCCTCTACAGGGTCCGGCAATAGTACGTCGGGTATCTGTGGCTCCTAGAATAAAAAACTTGGGAATTTTGTTTAAGTGCAAACCTAAAGTATGTACTAGGATATACTTGAGGAAAATATTTTAACTTCTATCGGGTGGCTCAAAAAGTGTGAGTGGATGGAAATTATTTTTTTAAATTTTTCTCGGTTAAAATCGCTGCGAGCAACATATATTTGAATTCTTAATATAATCAATACATGCGTCATCAACAACAAAAATTAAAGATTTTTGCCAGAAAGATATTTGACTGTAAGTTTTCTAGAAATTTCTCGACTTTTGAAACTGTATATAGGTTAAAACAATGCAGTTTTTTTAGAGAAAAAAATATAAAATTTATTTTATATTTTTTTCTTTTTTTATAAAAAAAAAAAGGATTTATCCTTTCAGATTGCGCATAATATCTAATGCTAACAAAGCAAAATTAATTTTGGGTGGTTTTCATTATCATTTTTAAAACTAAAATTTCAGTTAGTTACTTATTACTTAGGGAAATTAAAACAACTTTCGGTGCACGTCATCAACTACTGTCTTATGGAGTTTGCTGGTGGTCGTATTATGATATTATATAGCATGTTAAAAGATCTTAGTTATGCAGATGACATCTGTCTTCTTTCTCATAGTTACGCGGATATGGTATCAAAACTACTTGACTTATCAACTGAAGCTCGAATTGCAGGCCTTCAGATCAATATTAAAAAAAACTAAATCGATGAGACTTTGTATCAACATTGTCGCTCCCGTTATAATTTGGAAGGAAGTAAATAATTTTACTTACTTGGGTATAGTATAATATCAAACAACGGAAGCACAGAGCAAGATATCATAAATAGAATAAACAAGGCCAGAATAACATTTGGAATGCTCAACAATATTTGGGGATCTAGACAGTTATCTCACATGTACTCTTAATTTACAAATTTAAAATTTCCAATTCAAATGTCAAGTCAGTATTGCTGTATGGTGCAGAGACCTGAAAAATTACATCGCCATTAATTAACAAACTCCAAGTATGCATAAACCGCATTCTGCGAAAAATTGTAGGAATATTCTGGCCAAATACTATCAGAAGTGAGGATTTATGGAACTTAACCAAGCAGAGGTAAGTGTACAATGAGATTAAAGATCAAACTGAGAAAATGGAGGTGGATTGGTCATATATTAAGGCGAAGAGGCAACAAAATTGCTGGCAGAGCTATTGAGTGGAATCCAGAAGACAGTAGAAGATCTGATCGTCCAAGACATACATGGCAAAGGACAATTAAAAAGGAGATCAAAGCAGTAAACTGCTCATAGCGAGATGTCATATTAATTGCAAACAACCGAACCCGCTGGAGAGTATAAATTGAAGCCCTATGCTCCACGTAGGAGTAAAGGATAAAATTAAAAAAAAAAGATTTTATATTTCGATACATATTATATATATATAACCGTGACCGATAAAAGCGGACCCACAGTGGCCTTTTAAACGAAAATTCTAATAATTTCTGTAAAACCAGCCTCTACAGGGTCCGGCAATAGTACGTCGGGTATCTGTGGCTCCTAGAATAATAAACTTGGGAATTTTGTTTAAGTGCAAACCTAAAGTATGTACTAGGATATACTTGAGGAAAATATTTTAACTTCTATCGGGTGGCTCAAAAAGTGTGAGTGGATGGAAATGATTTTTTAAAATTTTTCTCTACAGAAACGTACCAAAAGAACATGTGATAATTTAAATGTTGAAATAATTAGACAGGTTTCATTCAAAATTTCGAGAAAATTGACAGTTAGGTTTTAAAACAGCTTCTGTTGAATCTTTGGAATCAGAACATTTCTAAAATTATTAAGTTACTCAAATATCTAGAGAATATTAATTTTTGTCATTGATGGCATGTATTGATCATTATGAATCCAAATATCTTGAGAACGGTTGCTCCCCGCGATTTTTATCAAGAGACATTTTTTACGTAACATAAGACGTAAATGTATATTTTTTTACTCAGTAGTGTAATACAGGGACGGACGAAAAGTTATTACTGTTCAAAACAGTAAAAAACCTGTAGGTGGCGCCCCCTACGAGTAGGAGTCATAGTGACATCGAAATCAAGCTTCTCATGTTAAAGAACCCCCAGATAACAATAAAATTTTCCTCCAAATATCGACATCAGTTCCAAAATTATTTCGAAAAAAATCGAAATAAAAATAAAACTTCAACACGCATTTTAGACTGTTCTGTTAGACATTTTTATTTATTTTTTACGAACTTTTTTGTGTGCAGAATATTCTGCCGAATACAGTTCGGACCACCCTGTATATTATAATTTTGGTTCACCTTATATCAACTAATACTTTTGAAGGAAAAAGTCAATTGTAAAAAATTAAAAAACTTATATTTTATTTAGTACATGACCAAATTAACGACCAGTCAAATAAAATTCCAACCAAATTATCTGGTATTTTATGAGTATCCATAAAAAACAAAATTAATTTGTTAAATAACACACTTGACAACGAACGTTATCTCAGTAATCAATGGTTTGCTTGATGAATATAAAATATAACCGTATAGCTCAATTGAGATATTAGAACGATGATTTTTATTAAAAATGCGTGAATAAATATCCTACATATGAAGTACCAGTAATTGATGTCTAAAGATAACAGCACTGCTGCATCAAAAATTTTTTTGACTTTGTAACTGATTTCAGACGTTCTCTAGGTCTCATTAATATTAGATAATTCTCAGTGAAACATGAAAAAATATTTTTAAAAATCGAAGCTATAGAAAATTGTAGTAGTGTAACGTTTTTAGTTCGTTACATGTCTTTTTTATATATAATATATGATGTCTGGCCTATCATCACCGGATTCCCTATCGTTCAGGCCGGATAGTTTATTTGACGCGTAATTTTTACGTTCCCTAGTCGCCAACCCTGTTATCGTTCGACACAACCCTGTTATTGCTCTGAGGAGGCGCTGTCAACATCGCTTCTGTCAACTGTCTCCGTGCTTAACCTCACTTTGTTTTGACGCTCTGTTGTATCCCAGCTTTTGGAAATGGTGATTATTTAAGTCTTGCTGTATAATTTGAATCAGCTGCTATTTCGAGGCTACAGGGTAGAGTTACGGATGTCCCAACTTGTATTTGTGTTTTGCTGGCACGTTGGCGTCCCTTTTCTTTTGTCCTCCAGAATGTCACATGGAAGAAAGGACATGTTGTTTATTATTTATTGAGCCCTCGGAAGTATTTCGAGGGTCCAAGGTACGGACTATTTCCAAGGTACGGACTGTGTCCAAGGTACGGACTGCGTCCAAGGTACGGACTATTTCCAAGGTACGGACTGTGTCCAAGGTACGGACTGTGTCCAAGGTACGAGTAGTGCCTTATGTACAGACATTATCTTATGTACAGATGTCCTGTGGACGAGTGTCCCCAGTAAGAACGATTTTTTCTTACATCTAAGTGCCACAGCGTGGATTTGGCTTGAGTCACATGCTGCTTCACTCCCATTTCTAAGCCTAGTCAGTAGCTACGGCTGTAAGGATTCATGGTGTCCTCAATCTGGCCAAGGTACGGGTAGTGCCTTATGTACAGACATTATCTTATGTACAGATGTCCTGTGGACGAGTGTCCCCAGTAAGAACGATTTTTTCTGGCCCCTTTGTTGTTTTGACCAACAGGATCGCCGACAGACAGTACAGAGATGCTAGACCACCTCACGCTGCTACTGTTTGAAGCAAGGTTACATAAAAGAACAGCTAAGTGTATATTTAAGTTCTAGTTTTACATTTAACATCTAAAATATTTTCAGTCTTAAACAGTAACGTACCTTTTAAATAATATCGTACAGACTATATTTAGTGGTTAGATTATTAAGAACATTTATGTCGATGCAGTAGTTACAATGTGATTTAGATTTTAGGTTTCATTATATTACGCCTTGTAATAGTATTACTTTCTATAGATATTATTATTGCGCTATATTAACAGATGAATAACGAGACATAGATTCTAGAATCTACAGGTTGCAACACATCAGATTTAACACCGCATAAAATTTAACAATTTAAATAAAGTAATGCTACTTTTCTTATATTTTCTATAACGTTACACGCATTGTATGTTTTCATAGTCTTTTCATAGAACATATTTAATATTATTTACATACATAGTTTTACTCAACAAATAACCACTATAATAATTATTAAAATTGTACATTGCTATTTACCATCAGAATTCATGAATAAATATAGTCATTAGTTTTAAGTATTATACAACTGTGTTTTCTTTCTCTGTACATGCCTGGCGCCCAGTATCTATATATCTTTTGTTAATTATTACTGATTAATTTTCTCTCTAGTGAAATACCTTATCCACGACTGCTCTCCGATGAAAAGCTGCCGTTCGCAGTGGTAGTGGTTTAAAAAAACGTTACAGTATCGATTATTGGAATAGAACATAACAAAGTCTGCAAAAAGGATATAATCGTTGATCGAAAGATTTGGGAATATACGCAACCACTAGGTGAATTCGTGACAAGACTGATTTTATTTCCCTTTACGTCTCAAGTGCTGTACGGTGTAGACACCAATCCTTCTGC